ATATATAGTATATATATATATATATATATATATATATATATATATATATATATAATATGTATGTATATATATATGTATATATACATGTGAATTTTTTTATCATGCGTGTATTGAACAATCATGAAAATGTGCATGCGCACATATAAATGGTATGTACAATGCGCTATGTGCTGCTAACAAATACTGAACAATACTAACAAATATTACTGAACAAATATAAAAACGTGCCAACAGATGTGTTGAATACACAATTTTTTTCTTGCATCAAATGGCAAAAATAACTCGACGCTGTCAACATTCCAAACTAGTAGGTCAGTGGTAACGCAACGTTATATCTGTTATGTGTATGAAAGCCATAACTTTAGTTTATCCGAAGAGAATTTACTGGCTTATGTTCACATTCTTTATCAAAATACGCGCTAGAAATGCACTAATTAAAAAAATAAAGAAAAGCAATTCATGTAAAATAAATTGCTTTGTTGTTTTTGAATTGTAACGTATGTAAACTCCAACTCGGAGGTAAATTGAATTAAATTAACATATTACAAGCAGGACCAAGCAAATATTTCCCACACAGGTTCACTGAACAACATCACAAAGAGTTTCATCAATACGAACAGCGCTAGGATAATATTCCTTTACCGCATAGACTACCCACCCTGGAATGTTGTATTCCAAAGCCTTTGCGAGACGGCTAGACCATCAGTGATGTCGCCATCTTCCGCTATGATGCGTCGAATGGATAGAGCGTGCATCAGAACCGCATCGTAAAATCCACCGATGAAATAGTTTACCTGCCGAAGCAACGATATCGGTTTGGCAAACATGCACGGCATTGTTCTCGTGATTGACAACATCATGACGTATTGATGTACGTACACATTGCGTGCAGATCTGCAATGTCATACAAGCGGCTAACCCAGCAGGACTGACATTGGCAACGTTTGCTCATCGGATAGTCCATAGGCTCAGTGTTTAAAAGCAATTGCACGTAGCAAAGCCTGTACGCTAGCATGAAATTACGTATAATTATTTATTCAATACATTATACGCCTCGTATATATATGGATAGATATATAGATATATAGATAGAGAGAGAGAGAGAGAAATAAATGAAAAAATTCTCCATTGCGAAATTTCCGCTCCAAGGTCTCACGGAGAAAGTACCAGTCTACCAGGTCGATACAGATCGAAACTGTATGCAAATGCTACGACCGCACACCCGATGCGACGATATATATAAACAATAAGTCTTCCACTAAATTTCGCACCTCCTTTGTCCACGTGTAGTTGTAATCTCTCAGCGCTCGCAGCTTCACCTTCTCCGTGAATTCGTCCCATTGCGGACCGACAGGGTCCGCCAGCGTGATCACCATCAGGGACTGATACGCATAGCGAGCGTCGTCATCGTCGTCGTCGCCTAGGAAACGCCAATGCAACACCTCAACGCACAATACTAATAATAGCAAAGAAACAAACACGCGCTGATATGTAACCAGCATGATGATGATGATGGTGATGATGATGACGACGACGATGATGATGTTGTTTTTGTTTTTGTTGTTGTTGTTGATGATGATGATGATGATGATGATGGTGGTGGGGGATGATGATGATGATGATGATGATGATGATGATGATGATGATGATGATGATGATGATGATGATGATGATGATGATGATGATGACAATGATGATGATGATGATGATGATGATGATGGTGATGATAATGACGATGACGACTACAGTAATGATACTGACGACAATGAAGATGATGGCGATGACGATGGCGATGACGATGGCGGTAACGATGAAGATGACGACGATGATGACGATGGTATTGATGAGATCATCATCATCATCATCATCATACACCAGCAAGTCACAGTAACTAGAAATTCGCGCTGTAGAACCTGAATGATCGATCACATGCAGTATATCCAGTATATAATCAGCCCCAGTATATAATCACCGTTACATAATCGCAGGTGACTGAAACATCATTATTGGTGATATTGGTATTATTGGTGATTAGCGAACGGTAATAAGAAATAGAACGCCCGCGCAACACACACATGCACACACACACACACACACACACACACACACACACGCGCGCGCACGCACACGCACACGCACACGCACACGCACACGCACACGCACACGCTGTCAACGCGCGCACGGCCAGCGCACAGCACGCACGCATCCACCGCCACTCCACATCAGCACACACACCACATACACACCACATACATACAACACACACACACACACACACACACACACACACACACACACACACACACACACACACACACACACACACACAGGAGGAAATCGGTAACCTGCATTCTGCCGAATCGATGTGTGTACGAAAATATGTCACCTTTTTTCCAAAGTGCTTTTCCCCATATGTCACTGCGAAAGCGTTCTATGGCAATGAAGACGTAGTCCCCATGGGTCATCCCATGACGGTGAGCGTGCAGCAGCATTTCTCGCACGTGATCAGCAGATGATAGAATACAAATAGCTGCAATACGTAAGTTCATGTTGCTTGCACGATAATAACGGAAAATACGTGAGCAACGAATTTTTCACCAATACGATTTTCTATGCGCACCTTCGAAGGTAATTCTATAGCTTCTATGAATGTAAACCTTTCAGTTGCTTAAACCGAAACTTTGGATGCTCCGGGAAATGATTTTGCAGAGCAATACGGAGAAAGCGATGACTTTACAAATCTGCGAATATATGAACTCATCTATAAACGCGCTATAAACTCTCAAAATCGTCAACCATCGTCCCAAAATAGCATACAAACCGTGAATAATGTAATAAAACGACTGAACACTGACGACTATATTTTAACACATAATTGCAAATAAATATAATATAATCGCGAAATACCAACATGTTTTGCTTGCATCAATGACATATACGACATACGCATATACGCTCTCCTATGGCACTATTTGTCATAGAAAGATTTTTTCTATGACAAATATTGGCGAGTCAACTTTGTTCCGCTTTACAGCTCAAATTCACTGCTTGCGTTCATAATAGCGCTCCTAAACTCCTATGATGCGCACAACGCATACAACAATATTTGTCATAGTGTCACAGGAGAGCGTATATGCGTATGTCGTATTTGTCATAGATGCTAGCAGAACAGGCTGAATGTAAAGTGTATGCATAACCACTCGATGCATAACCACAATAATTTAGGGTATAGGTTTAATGTAGTAGTTTTACGCTTTTTTATGGTAATTGTATATCATGTGTCATAATATTTATGTATTATTATATGTTCGGTGCAGATAAGATGTGGAAGTAGTGGGCACATGCAACACGATCATATTTTGTTACACTCTCATCCATGAACGCCCGTACATGTATACTTGCCGATAGTGCATCTCAGTCCATGCATGTATATCACTCACTATTCAACACATGTTATCGTCATGTTACAAGCAAAAACCGCGCATGGATCTATTTGACATACGCACAATGAATCTAATTTCACGAATTCACCATTTATTTATATGCGTATTATAAATGCAAAGAACATGTATGCAAGTCGAATCGCGATAAACCTGAAATGAAATGACACGTGTCGAATAATAACATGGCTGCTTGCATTGTATATAGCCTCGTTCACACGAGACCTCGTATTTATGAAATACGGTATTTGCGAAATACCGAATCTGAGACAAATACGCGGCCGAGCGTTCACACGCTGATTCGCGGCTCCAGAAATACGGTATTTGCGAGCTGCGAGCTGCTTTAGTACAATGAAAAAAAACAATGCGTCCAAGCGAACAATCAAGCGAACAATGCGAAATAAACAATGCAATGTGCACCAACTGCCGATAAAATACGTAGACTGGTCCGCGAGACAAACGGGAAGCAAGCATATATAGCAATAGCAATATAGCAATATAGCAATATAGCAAATAGCATATAGCATATAGGAATATAGCAGCAAGGAAGAATTTTCCTATGACAAATAGTATCATAGGAGAGCGTATATGCGTATGTCGTATTTGTCATAGATGCTAGCAGAACACGCTGGAAATACATCTGTCCGCGTCACTCGTGTCGTGCCTACAGTGTTGACACATCACTCCAACCGATGTCACTTAAATTGTTTGCTTAACTCGCACGGTATTACCTATTCACTGATTGGTTTAATTATGAAAGTGGATGAAGTGGTCCTCTCAAATGGACGCCGAGTTCTATTAAATTTGCAGCGATCAAACATCGACCTTCTGCGCCGAGGCGTTTAGGTGGTGAGTGGGAACGCGGCGCCCGATAAAAGCATTTCACACCTTTTGCATGTATTTCGCACCGATGTTAGGAAATATGTCAATCACGCCGCCGCGCTCGCGAGTAAATTATGCAGCACATGCATATACAGCGCATGTGACCTAATCTGTGTACAGATCCCCCGTTATATCAGTGCGAAGATTGTCACGTTGAGACAATCGGACTTCAGGCGGAGCTTGGACGGGTGATCAAATCTTTGACCTCGATCAAAAACCTATATACGATATCAACGAACTACAGTCTACAGATCTACCGGCCGATATATCAGTACGATTTTTACACTGAGACAAACAGACTTGCAACCAAGACGGAGCATGGACTGGGAATACGATTCCGACCAAACCTATAGATGGCGTACAGCAGTAAGCCTCCGCAAATAGTGCAAGCCTCCGCGGATTGCACTATTTCGTCTCCAGAAAAGGCCTTTTTTGGATTTTTTTTCGCAGAAATTCGACACTAGAGTGCAATAATTTGCATTATGCACGCAAGTTAGATGCCTCGTGGACGTCTAGAAAGCATTAGAAGTAAAATGGGTCTTGTTGTGTATTCGTGACATTCCGTCAGGTGGCGTAGCCACAGCGACCAGTTGGTCATTTTTGTGTTTGAAATGTGTTCAGACAACTTTGCAGAAATTCGCATCATAAAGCTGGCAATTGTTTCGAGCGGAGCATAGAGCATGAATCTGTAGTTATTTAACATGAATAAAGTGTATGTTGTGTAAGCGCAGTAACAGTGTGAGTATTTTTAATTAATTTCTGTTCGATGCTTATTCAGGCCTGCCGCCTATGGACGCCCTCTACTGTTGTCCCCCAATATATACGATCAACGAACTACAGTCTACAGATCTACCGGCCGATATATCAGTACGATTTTTACATTGAGACAAACAGACTTGCAACCAAAACGGAGCATGGACTGGAAATACGATCCCGACCAAACCTATATACAAACTAAATTCATTACGAATTAACGAATTAATTTACGATTTTACGATCAACGAACTACATTTACTACCTCTCGCGTGCTCGCTTGCCTCCAGTAACATCTTCTCGAGGTCGTACGACTCCTCCTTGCTGCTATAGTAGATGTCGTACGGTCGGCGGAACCGCGCGTCCGAGTTGAGCGCGTTCCTGAACGCATTACCGACAAACTTCGTGAGAAAGTCGCTCGTATCAAAGATCATCGCCACGTGATACCAGCCGAAGTGCTCGAGCACGGATGTGAGGAACAGCGTCTGATCATGCTCGACGTCGTACGACAGCCGCGACACGGTCGGATAGAGGTGCTTATTATTGACGAGGTTCCCGACGCCCGTCAGCATCGGCAGGCCGAGGAACGTCGCCAGCCGACCGGCGACCATGACATCCTGCGAGCAGGCAGGTCCGATGGCGACCTCGATGTGATCGAAGTAGTAGAGTTGGCCGAGCCCGCCGACGGCACGGTCCTCGTTGCAGAAGTCCGGCCAGAAGTAGGTGAACTTCTCGTAGTGGATGTCGTAGTCGAGTGCCATGCGTTCGATGGCGATGTCGACGGCCGGACCGACGTGTTCGGCGCCGAACGGCAACCAGCTGTCGATCTGGTTGAGAAATCCCATGCGGATATGCACGGCCGTGTCGTTGTTCGCGCGCGCTGCCGCCGTCGTCGTTGCCGTCGTCGTCGTCGTCGTCGTCGTCGTCGTCGTCGTCGTCGCCGCCGAGCATACGAAGGAGAACGTTGCGACGGCGACGAGCGCGACGGCCGGGCGACGCATGCTGGGCGGCTTACGTGCGGCGCGGTGTTATCCGAAATGTCGCGTTTTCTCGAGGTCTATATGCAACGCGCATTGAAGTTTCGTCAGGCTGCGCCGCTGCCTGCGATGTGCACGCATGTTGGGTTCGTTTGTAAGCGTCGGTACACACACATAAATACACGCGCTTTCGCTCACACGCACACGCGCTCGCACACATGCGCGGGTGACAAACTGGAAATGACGCTGACTCATACTCGAGCCTAAATGTTGATTGTAAGATGTCCTGCGGCGATTCCATTGTCAACGCTTATTATAGGCCGCATCTGCGCATGCGTCGTAGCACCTGCATTCATCCTCGCGCTCGTAGATGGTGCGTACACAGTAATCGTAAACATGTGACTTGCGAAGAGCGTTATGTGACCGGCGTCCGATAAACAGCGATGTCAACGTCCGATGTCAACATGTTCTGCTTGCATCTATGACAAATACGACATACGCATACACGCTCTCCTATGACACTATTTGTCATAAGAAGATTCTTCCTATGACAAATATTGGCGAGTCCACCTCGTTCCGCTTTACAACTGAAATTCACTGCTTGCGTTCATAACAGCGCTCCTAAGCTCCTATGATGCGCACAACATATACAACAATATTTGTCATAGGAAGAATCTTCCTATCACACTTAGTGTCATAGGAGAGCGTATATGCGTATGTCGTATTTGTAATAGATGCTAGCAGAACAGGCTGCATATGTATAATGCGGACGGACCGTAAAGGTGACGAATGAATGTATGACCTTTTATCAGGGGCAACACGCGCGCGTCTCTCCGTATGCCTATAGAGCTACATGAATGCATGTAGTGTCGCCGCGCGTATATGTGTGGGAAATTATGCGTACGTTATTTATGCGTTGCTGGCATCCTGGGTGTTTCGTGACGGCTGGTCATTAATGTCGACAAGACCGCTTTCTCTCTCTATCGAACCCAGGCTCCACGCAATTTATATTACTTATGATAAACTATATTGATCACCCTTCAGGCTTTACTCGATTGGTGCATTCCCTGCATATGTTTTTTAGAACAAATAAAGCCTTAGCTTTTCAACCCTGGCTAGTGAACAAACGCTTGCGAGAGCAATAATACACGAGAGTACGAATCGCCGTTATACCGGAAAAGTGAAGAATGTCGTGCAATAACTGTACGATTTAAAAGAAAAAAGTTTCCGCTGTCAAAAAATAATCCCGCTTATTTGCCCAAAGTTCCGGCTGTTCCGGCCTCCTAAACTCGATTGGCACATTCCCTGCACAGGTGTTTTTTTAGAACTAATAACGATTAGAATAATATATATTAGCGTTTAAACGCCAGTAGTGAAGAAGTGTTTGCGGATGCAATATACGAGAGCACGAATTGCCGTAACATCGGAAAAGTGACAAATATCGTGCAATAACAGTACTGTAACTTCAAACCAAAAAACAGTTCCAGCTGTCACAAACTCGCTGGCGCGCAGTCGGTAAAGCCAATCGCTTGGTCGATCAGCAATCGGTTAGTCTTGCCCAGCAGTCGTGCTCTCGAGTTGATATTCAACGCAGTATAACGGTGCGGCCAGCCCGACTGGATAAGCGCGCGTCAGTCTAGTCGGATTAGCGCAGCTATCAGTCGCGCTAATATCAACCCCATTGCCATTGCGAGATGGCAGATGAACGAGAACTCGATTCGCTGGATGACAATGTCCCCCCCCCCTCACCCCACCACGCCTCGATCGTGACGTGATGGATCAGAAGACGGGATCTTATCCTTGTCACACGTAATCCCCTTTGCGGTCGGAATTAATTAATTTCTTGTCAAACATATGCCATCGGCTCTCCGGGTAATCAGTCGCCGGTGCATACGCGTGCCGCATATGTAACGTGGCGGAAAGGTGAGATAATGAGGATTTACTAGTCATATGTATTGTGGCACAGGGATCGCGGAGATGGGTGCAAGCATGGGAAACTACCGCATACTAGAGGCTATGCATCCATATATATACGGCGACTAGTAGCATAGATATATTATCAAACGCTTATAATACCTTTAATATATCTTTAATATATGTTACCTTTATTATAGGTATTATATAAGCTCTTGATATTATAATAGTGTATGCATACGTCTATGGAAGAAGCTAGCCATAGGCAAGCTATATAGCATAGAATAGGAACGATGATGGCATGCATATTGTGACGAGAAGGAACAGGTTAAATGTGACTGTATTATTGTAGTCTGTATATGAGAGAGGGCGAGAGAGAAAGAGAGAGAAGGAGAGAGAGAGAGGGAGAGAGAGAGAGAAAAAGAGAGAGGGGAGAGCAAGAGAGGGAGAGAGAGAAAGAGAGAGAGGGAGAGAGACAGAGAGAATCGCATCCAAGCTGTAAATGAAGAATCACTCACCGCTGTACACTCATACTGACCGCTAGTTATGCTATATCATTATATTAGCTATCTATATATATAGTAATAATAGTGACTGTCATGATATATAATATACCTACCGTATAAACTATATAATACTA